ATCTTATGCTCAACTCGAAATCGAGTTTATGATCGAAAAAGAGGGGGGGGGGGGTACCCTTAATCTCGATACTCGAATTATGAATATTATTACATCCTTTCTAAAACAAGTGACGCTCGTCGTTTTAACTCTTCTCATCCTTGACTGAGTGTTCAACTGTTTCAATATAATATACTAGTATACAAACCTTATTAATACTAATATCTAATGTATGAATGAAGTTGAGTGTGAGTTTGAGTGCAAATGTTGATGTGTGCGTACGTGTAATTCTTTGCTTCATCTATTCAACCAATCGCACTAATACTCTACACTTCCAACCTGAAAAAAACCTTATTGGACGAGAGGCAGATATCGAAAACATCTGATTGGCTAATCATATAGCATTAAATAGTCATCATTATGATTTTCAGGTTAAATTTACGTCAGTACACGTGAACACGTGACTATTTACGTGCGTACAAGATGACAAATTTATTTGATTCTATATGACTTTCCTTTCAGTCAAGGGAATAACCATCACAGTCATAAAGAATCGTTTTATATAACTTTCCACGTTTATTTTTTGGGTGCTTTTTGCTTAATCTATACTGTAAATCTTTGATATATTACAATGTTTTCTGATAACATTTGATGTTATTTTCTATAAGGCTGTATCTTGTGTGTTTGTTTGCATCACTGACAGTCGATTGACGGTCGGATATCAACTATCAGTATACCAGTGATTTTTGTTCAATTAGAAACACATGCATTATGACTGATTAACTTTAATACGCTTAGCTAATTTACGGTGACTAACACTAAAACGATTACTTGCGGATTTTATAAGTTGTTTCGATTTTTTATTAGAAATTTTTACTGAAGGATCACTTCTTGGTAAGTATTTGGTTTGTTTACATTTCAAATAGTTATTGAATATATTAAAAATTGTTCTGATTAAAATGTCTTGTTTCATTAAATGTTTAACTGTCGTTTTAGAAGATTTATTGGATGAATCGATATGAAACTTAGAAATTCGTCGAGAGAATCTTCTCTTCATTCTAGTGTTATTTTGTTTATGAACGTATGGTCTGAAAGAGAAAGAAATCATCTGTCTTTTGATTAAAAAAATGTTTTCATTCAGAACCGTTCTATTGAACAGAATTACAAGTCAACATTTATCTTCATTACTTTTCCATCACATGTCATTAAAACATTTTGAGGTTAAAAATAAAAAAAAGAAGGATCTTGTGTGTAAAGAAGATTCTGTACTTCCATGAATCATTTGAAAAAATTCTTTTAGTTTTATTCCAGGAATATTTCAAGAAATATCGATAAGTGTTTGAAAAAGTTGTATCAGAACAAAGCCTTGAAGTTTCGGTCCTATTATAGATAAAACTATTTCAAGAGTTTTTAGCAGTAAAACTACAAGAAACTCTTAAATACTGATGTTTTAATTAATTCAGCTAACAAATATCACAATTTTCTTTTGTTTTGTCATCTGTCTTAGCTTTTGTTTTGATCGATGCATTTTATAATAAAATTCTGTAATAATCATAGAAAATTTACGTACAATTTTTATTTCTGATTCGAACAACCTTTTTTTTATGCGTGTAACTCCAGTCACCGGAACATTGAAAACAAATGCTTGCGCTAATTTATAGTTCTGCATCTTGCACTGATTAACTTGTTTACTATTTTTAGTGTCATTGAAAATATCAATATCAGATTTTCTCTCTGAAAAAAACAGTATAAAAGCAAGAATATATACGTTAGTTCGGATGCTTTATCATTTATCATTGTCAATCATAATTGTGTTTTCATTAGCAGTAATTCATATTGAGATAAACTATGACATATCGGATGTTTCTATTTGTTTACAACGTATTTTATTTGGCATATATTTCTAGATAGAAACATGATACAAACTGGAAGTGGTTATTAAAATTATGCCATTAAATTTTCTACACCCATATAAGTATAAAATTTTACTTGACTTATTATTATCGATTCTAAATTGAGTAAACAGAAATATGTATTAAATACTATATTTTGTCATTATCAAAATAAAATAAACGTTCTAGGAATGATAAATTTATCATCGAGATCAAGTTTATTGCAGGAAAACTCATTGCTGAATGAAATAATACAGCACAAAATGATTCTCTTGATATTAGAAAAGTCGTTCGAAAAAATTACTAACAGATAATTGCTTGTTGAAATGGGGAAGTGAATTTTATTTTGAAAATTGAAAACCTATAATGTCAGGTATATTTTTTCGTTTGATCATCTCTAGGATCGATTACAGTTCGTCAAACAAAAATTTTTATTTTATTTATTGTAACATACAAAGACTTCACTGACACTAGTAAAAACCTAAAATTTCAAATGTATGGCTAATGACTTACAGAATATCTTGAAAGTTTCAGTCAAATAAAATACCTTATTCTACATACTGAATCGCCAAATATTGGTTTATATTTCACAAGAAATTCAGCAAAATCAACTTTTCCGAAAAAATTCAATATTTCGAGAAGAAATTATTGAATTTGGTCAAAACTTTAAGAAGCTTCTTAGAGCCATTAGATGTCTCATATCAATGTCTTGTTCATATTCTGAAAGCTCATTAGAGAGTTATAACTTTGAATGAGAAGCCAAAGAGCACTTGATCTTACAGAGTTTTACTATTCGAACTCGAAGAAAAACCAGGAAGAATATTCCTATCTTTGAGTTACTGTGCAGTATGATGTTATGCCTATCGACAAAAAGTTCGCCTAATTCAGATTTCTTTCGCTCCCCATACATATTAACTAACCACATACTAGCCATCAGAACCGATGTATATCATAACATAGTTACAATACTATTTGATCAGTAATTCGATACGAATAGCCGTCAAGTACTTTGTTCAGTGTCGTTCCATAGCCAATACTACTAAGGTTTACACGTAGGACTTTGCTACTATGTGTCGACTAGTGTAATCACGCGGCCATGGTGAGTATTTATGGAAAAGAAAAAAAAACAGTTTGAAACTTTTTCTAATAAGTCTCACATTCAAAAATGACATATTCTAAATATCAAATATGAATAATCTAATTGATGATATGTTTTTGAAATTATATTGATAAATTGAGGAAAAACGTAACTTTTCGTATCATTTTGTATATTTGTTTATTTATTTTATAATAAGGAAAATAAAAGTTAATCAGAATTATTTTAATATGTTATTCAATTGAATAAAAGAAAACAAAAAATTAAAATTAAACAAAGCTTTGAACAAGACAAAATGTATGATATGTTCTCTTGTGTATTTATTTATTTCCCAGAAGTTGTTGTTATTGGCATATAAAAAGTAGCTATACCACTATCTCGATCTGAACATAATACATCATTTTGACTATTTATATTATAAGCTTGCAGATAAAATACACTTTTTTGTCCAATAATATAATCTTCGGTCATATCATACTTCAATGCATCACTGGATATATTATCTATAATCGTGTGTGGATCAATAATTAATTTATAATTATTAATTGGTCCAGCTGAACGCCTAGGCGCTAACCAAGATAATGTTAGACGTTTAGAATGTAATTAGCTTAATTGTGATTTTTTGTGGTGATGATGGACGTCCATAACCAGTTCGAATACAACGTGTGATTGTCTCATTAGTTCCAATGCAAGTTAAAGTGAATGAATATAATGAATCTGCTGCAAGGTTATCAACCTCAGTATATCCTGAACTTGATGTTTCATCGAAAAATTCTAGAGGATAACTACTATTATCACCTTTGATGACAGTCGTTCTTACTTCACATGTACAAGATGGTGGTGGACATTCTGTTACGTTTGCTTGTAATCATGAAACATGTAGTAGACTGAATATAAGAAAACAAAAGGAATTACTCACTTAATCATACCATCATAAAAACTTTCATCCGTAGGATTTTCTTCAAATAGTTGACTATCAAAATAGTTAATTTGTGTTGCATAAATAATTGTAATGAATAAAAGAAAAATAATCGACTGTTGTTGTTGCATATTTCTCTTGTCCGTTAGGAAAATAATTGAAAAAATGTTCAACTAATCTGTTTCTTGTATAAGCACACTTCTAATGATAATGAGAGAGAAAAGATTTTTTCTATTGACATAAAATATAATGAATTATTGAAACAATAATAATCATGACAGATTAGTAAATTGACATTAGAGAAAAGTAAATACATATTTTTAAATCAGTCATTAGATAGTTTTATACTGATTAAGATAAAAAACTATCACAGATGTTTAATCTAATATGCTGCAGTCAATAACAAAGCTCTTTAATCAAGCCTGATATACAGTCTCGCCATTATCTACATTATGTATAAAAACAGGACCACTCCGTTCAAAGAATGTACAAAACAAAGTTTTGGTTGAAATATATCTCTATGAACAATAGTCTTTGCTGATTCATCTTCACTAATATAGCTAGCATCACATGACCTATTACCAGTGTGTGTAGAATAAATTCATATCTCATCACTCGTAGTACTGAAACTCAACCGATATGATCTTTTCTAAGTTTCAAGAGAAATTTTTGAAATCCGTCAAGTAAATGAAATACAACGTGTTCATGCGGTTTCCAAGGAAACTTAGCTAAAAATTTTTTCGAAAAAAATTTTTAATAAATCATTAAAAAGGATTGAGCTTTTTATTAATAATCATAACAACTAACGTGAACATTTACAGAAATCAAATTGAAAATATTTCCTGATCTTTACATTTTTATTTAACAATGTTGGAACTTTTGGTCAGCCTTAAGTATTTCATTTGTATTCTTTTTTTCTAGAAGGTGCATCCTAAAATGAGAGAAAAAGAAAGAGAATAAATCTATTTAGAAGAACAATAGAAAACAAATGTCGTTCAATATGAATCAATCTTAGTGTAAAGAAAACAGTTGGCACTACTTAAATGATCAAACAGTTTTTTTTTAATGTTTTTTGATAGACGAACTATTCACATTACTATAAGCTTTATCTCTCAGTAGCAGAACAATCAGAATAAAATGCAGATATATATATTAGTATTCCAAGTAAGATTACGTTCAAAATCAGATTGAGGGAATAGCTGATGTTAAAACTTGAACTAATCTAAAGATCGATATTGTAATTGAGTGCTGATTGAGAAGCTAGAGAGAACAGTACTATTTTAATTAATACAATCATCAATTGATAAATTAAGTTTTTCTTGATGAAATGATGAGTGATTTTGTACATAAAAACTGCTTTGATAGAAAACTGTCCATAAACATTCGATTCTAGACTTGATTTATCCAATGATGATAGTATGAAGTGAAATATCATTGCTATCTATCAGTTCATCGATAAGTATCCACATACAGTATCGACATAAAACTAAATCAAGGTTTAACCTCAGTTTCTTCTTCAATTCTATATTGAACGTGTCCAATGTCGGATACGACATTTACCTAAGACCATCGAAGATTGGATGTTATCTTACATTGGACGCTAAAATATGTATATACTTATACATATGTATAGTTGTGTTTTCTTTAAAATGAATATCATAAAGAAGTAATATTCTTATTATGTGTATGTAAAACAGTGTGTGAATAATTTCAGTGACTTTTAATGAATTTAAATAAATGAGTATTTATCACAATATTAAATGTGTTATTGACTGAACCTGTCTATTGAAGCCATATACTACAAATAGAATTGTTTATTTCTTATGGAATTGATTTCTTTTATTTTAAATATAACTTTCATTTATGAACTTACCACTATTCCTTCAACAAATGCAGATAGACTGAAAAAAAAATGTTAAGTGTTTTCTATCGATAATAAGGCATTTAGAAAATGAAGTCTGTATGATTGATTCGTCGTTCGTGCATTCTAACGGAAAAGTTATTTTTATGTATTTTTATTTGAAAGAATGAACAGAAAGAAAAAAAGATTATCAGTTTAGATTAAGGTTTAAATGCAGATAATATCCGTATTGGTCATTATGGAGATGGTTTATTAACAAAACTAGCATGATACCATATTAATGTGAATATCAATCAATATGAATATTTCTCGTTCAGTGAGCCATTTATATGAAAATGAGATTAACACTGAATAGAGTTAATATTGTATAACAATATTTTAGTTTGCAAAGCGTTTGGTAGATTATCAATAGCGATAGTATCTGACTTATAATCCCAATGAAATTTTCCAATCGACTTTGGATAGTCGCCCTGAACATATGAGATGCTTATTTGCTTATTTATTGTACTCAGTAGCTAGTGCGCTTTACATGTTTCTCATGCAACAATTACAGTCAGTATTAAAGAAATCAAAGAAAATAATAAAATTAAAGAGAATTTTGCGAATTAGACGGTCATCCATAAAAGAGATTCAGGTGATTGAGTGGAGGCATGTGCCCAGAACAAAGACAAATCTGGATTGTAGAGGGAGAGCTAAAAAATGCGATTTTTACCTGAATATCCGTTACGGATGATCCTTAAAGTATTTTTTATTATTTGAAAAAACATCACAAATGCGAAGAATCGTTTTATATAACTTTCCACGTATGTATTTGGCCCTTTTTTCTTGAGTTTTATTATTCATGTTTGAAGCGTTTCAACTTTTTCTGATAATATCGGATGTTAGTTTTCGTAAGTTATCATGTTGCATATTGGTTCGCAATAGCGTCAATATAAATCACTTTATACTGAACAGTCTAGTGGCAGTTTTGTTCAATTAGAAACACATGGGTTATAATTAATTGTTGATTGATTAACGTTGAAACGCGCAGTTAATTTATGTTTACTGACACCACAACGATTAGTTGCAGATTTTACAAGTTGTTTTAATATTTGATTAGAAAATTTTACTGAAGTACCACTTCTTAGTAAGTAATTAGTTTGTCCACATTTCAAACGAATGAAATTTGCTTTCAATAATAGAGAAACTTTTCTTTCTCATGTTTCAGCCGTCTCCTTGAGTTTAATGCCAGTCGCTATCAACTGTTTAACGTCGATAGTACATAAAAAAACATCAATAAAAAGATGAATAGTATGACTAGTTTTTGGAAAAAAAAATTCATGCACCCTTGACAAACAAAGAAATAGAACTAGAATTTACGATAAAAATAATACTCTATAATCTTATAAGGAATTCCGTGCTCATCTTCACTTCAAATGTTAACACCTTTTTTGGTCGCTTTTTATAGAAGGAATTTCTTAAATTTGATATCTGAAATAGAAATCGGCTAGGTTTATGGAACGAGAAACAACAATACCGCCAACATCTTTCATAATCCTCTATGAGCCTTAGGTATTACTATGATATCAGTCATTAGTTGAATTGAAATAGTATAGAATTGATGCATTAAATTTATATCATCTGTCATAATCGAATTGATTCTAAATTAATGTTGCAACCAACTGCGTTTCTTAATTTGGCATTAAATTGCATGGTAAACAACGGGTTGCTATGAGAAACAATTGATTCAATCTATTGAACAATGTATAAAAGCTGCCTCTTCAGAAAAATCTATTACGGATTAAAATCTGAAGCATCATCGAGCTGCTGCTGCCAATCACAGAAAGATTGCTTTACTTCATCTATCTTGTGATACATTTCTTCGCTCTGCTTTTATATAATCCAGCAGAACTATGATAAGGAAAGTAATTAATATATTATAGCGAGCTATTATTGATATAGACTCTGTGGTCGAATATCTACAACGTCTGTCACGATCTGCAGGCAGAGGAGGCGAGGTGCAAAAATTTTACATTGTATATTTCAACTCTCCTTGTAGATTGTCTTTAACTAAAAATATAAAGTTTCGTAGTGGTGAAAACTAAGACCCGTCACTCGAAATTTTTTGTAGCTTGTGAAACTTTTCGGCTTTTTGTTTTAATTTTATATTTTAAATAATTTGATTCTTAACAGAAACTTACATTTAAAATAACAAAAACTGTAGCAAGCAGAAGAAAAAGAGAATGTACGTGGTAATTAAATTCAGACTTTCGCAAAGACAATGAGCATTATTTCATATTGAGCAAAAAAAGGTGTAATTATTTTTTTTCAATTGATCGTTTTAAGTATGTCCATTCGTGTGACATTCACTGACCTCAAGATATGTTCATATCACATGACTTTCTAGTTCAAGAAACTAAAGTAGTTTATGAATATGAAAAAAAAAATAAGTTCGGCTCTTTATTATTAAAGATGCGCCATAAAATTTTCTATCATAATCAAAGTAAAAAATTCTTCGTTGACTTGTTCTAATTCATTGTAAAATGTGTAAACAAAGAGATTAATATTATGCTATATTTTATCACTATCCAAATGAAATAAAAACTCTAGGAATGATAAATTTATTATTGATATCAAGAGTATGGTACAAAAAACTCATTGCTCAACAGAATAATACTGCTTACAATAATACTCTGCATATTAGCAAATCGCTCGAAATAGTTAAGAGACAATTGCTTGTTGAGATAGAGAAATGAATTTTATTCAGAAGATTGAAACTTTACAATATCTCATTGATTCTTTCGTTTGATTCTCTGTAGAATCCGTTTGAACTCATGAAACAAAAAGTTTTTACTTTGTTAATTGTAAAGAATTTAACGTTAAATTTTCATGAGTTATCTCTGAGGAAATTATGCATAATAAACTGCAGTGAAAATATGTAGAGACAATGTGTGACGATTTCTGATAGAAGGAATATTAGTGTAAATGGAGGTACACTTTATTCTATTCCTTCATATACAATCGCCTCGCTCAGATCAAAAGCACACGTTTATATAGGCAAGCATCAGAGAGAATGAAAGAAGAGGAAAGACAAGGACATCAAAGCAACAATAAAAAAGCAAGGACGATGCCAAGGACCAATATATATCGTAGGAGAGCGTTAAATATCACCCTCACAATGCATTCCATTGGGACCGTTACACAATGCATATGTTCGATAGTTCACAGTTTGTATCTTTAATGTATACATTTAGAGGAAGAAGCAGGATAGTTTCCGCTTTCTAATTTTTTCTTGCATTTTGTATTTCTTCCTGAAAATTATCTTTTGTTGATAACAAACATTTTAAATAGTTTCGTGAAGTAGATTTATCTGTGTCAAAACAAAGTGCTTTTGACATTTTTTTAAAAAGAAAACAAGTTATTTTCTGTCAAAAAGAAATTGAGTCAAATCAAATAGAAAGTAAATCAGGTCATATTTTGAAGGATAATATATTAAAAAAAAACAGAAGATAAGACAAACATCAAAAGTATAGTTTGATCGTTAATTTTTCCCAAACATAAACAGAGTCAAACAAAAGCTGTTTATATTTGAGAAAAAAAATGACTAAATTAAGTAATTTAACTTCAACATATTTGTAGACTTAATAGCCTTTCTAAAACTAACAATCATTAGTAATTATAACAAAAAATATTACTTTTTATTGTTCTCTTTCAATGCATTAAATTTGTAATAAATCGTTCTATTGATTACTAAAAGAAAAGCGAATATTTGAGAACAAATAAATTATCTTTGTCACATTTGTTGAACGAAAACGTCGAATATTTAATAACGAAAGAAGGTGCTAAATGGGCAGCACCAATTGAGCTAATTCGTTCTGCATTAGAAGACTGAGTGAACCTAGTAAAAGTTTAACAGAACAAGGCTTGTCGACCTCTTTCGAAGTTATGATCATTTTAATGAATTTTCAGCATATGAATGAGATATTGACGAAGATACTCAAGAATGGAATATCAAATTGAAATGTTCTTCAAATGTTTTCTAATAATCCATAGAAAATTGTGAAAAGTTTTACAATCCTGACTCAAACATATTAATAGGCAAAAACACTAGCTCGAAATCTTGCATAAATCTGTTATTTCAATATGGCTTATTTCAAACATCAAACATGAATAATTTCATTCATGACAAGTATTTTTTTTTATAAACTCATCTATCAGTCAACAAACAATGTCAGTTTTTGTGTGATTATCTGAATATATATTTATTTATTTCATAATAAAAAACAAATCAAGGTTAATAAAAATTCTTTTAGCATGTCATTCAATTCAATAGAAGAAAACAAAAAATTAAAATTAGAAAAAAACTTTGAAGAACATAGGATACATGATACGTTCTCTTGTGTACTTGTTTCTTGTGTAGATATTGTTGTCATTGGCATAAAAAAAGTAGCGTTACCATCATTTGGATTCGAACATTCTGACTGATTTTGACGATTTATATTACAAGCTTGCAGATAAAATAGATATCGTTCTCCATAAATAAAATCTTCTGTTATAGTATAAGAGAATTGATTGTTTGGTATATTGTTTATTGTCAGTTTTGCATCAATAGTTAATTTATAATTATAAATTGGTCCAGCTGGTTGTATAGGCGATGACCAAAATAATGTTAGACGTTGAGAATTTAGTTTAACTGTGATATTTTTTGGTGACGATGGGATGCCATAATCTGTTCGAATGTAACGTGTGATTGTTTCATTAGTTCCAGCACAAGTTAAAGTGAATGAATATAATGTATTCGGTTGAAGATTATGAAATAAAACATAGCTTATATTTGGTGTTTCTTCGAAAAATACCACAGGATGTATTTTATCATTACTGGTGGCATTACTTTTTACTTCACATTGACAAGATGGTGGTGGACATTCTATTACATCAGTTCGTACTCTCAAAAATATTTAGTTAATAAAAAATAAAAATACTAAGGATTCCCTCACTCAATAGAATCAGCGTAAATAGTAATTGGAGCCGAATACTGTTCTGGATTTACTTCGGCATGAAAAAAGTTGATTTGTTTTGCATAAGTAATTGTAATGAATAAAGGAAAAATATTCAATCGTCGTTGTTGCATGTTTTTATTCGCTGTTAAAAAACTAAAGTAAAAAAGTCTTCGATCAGTCTATTTCTTTTATAAGCTCACTTCTAATGATAATGAGAGAGAGAGAGAGAAAAGGTTTTCTATTGACATAAAACACAGTGAATCATTGAAAAAATAGGAAATGTAAGAGATAAGTAAATTGATATTGGAAACAAAAAAGGAAATATGTATTTTTTAATCAGTAATTATCCATTTTTATATGAGTTAAACTGAAAAACCACAGCAGATGTTTAATCTAGTGTGATGTGCTTTATAATAAAAATACATCGATAAAATTCACTCTAAAGTAGGTTTCATATATTAATGAATAAATTAAGTTTCAATCTATGAACTTATTAAGGGTGTTATGAATAAGGACTCGAACGGAAGGCGACAGATTCTGCATGTTTCTGATTCCTATTGTTTTTCTGAAATTCTCATTCAATTAACAGAATTCTCTAGATACTTCTGAAAACCTCATAGATTTCAGGAAATCATCAGTGTATCAGATAGTCAGAAATGTTGAAATAAATTATGAAGAAAAGAAAGTCTACTGGAACAACAGACCAGTTTAATTTCTTATTTTTATTGAAAAAAGAGCAATGCAGAATAACAAACAACAATTGAAAACATAAGGAAACAATAAGAAATGGCAAATCAACGTCATATCAAACAAACTTATAATATATCCTACGTAACCTTCTACATATTTAGCGTCTTAATTGTTGAATACATTTAAGCCAATTAGTTAATAGCACAGAGTTCGTGTCTACTAAAAGTCAATACGCTGTTTGTTTACAAATATAAATTTTTTAATATCGATTTTGACACAAATAAGGATATAGCAAGTGAAAGAGAAATAGCGTCAAAGAAAGGAGAAAACGGCAGATTTTATTTAAACCAGACTCCCTTAATTATGATCGAACTTTCAGTATTGTAAGTCGATTTTCGGAATTCCCATCGAATTTCGAATCTTTGCGCAGCGCCTTATCTAGTCCACGCCTAGTTATGTCACTATAAATCTCCGAGTGTCTATTGCATCATGAAGGTGTAGTAACATTTGTTCTTCCACAGAAAAAAGAAGGAGCCTTGTTGTCGATGAAAGTTTCCACTTCTGGCGTATTATGTGGACAGCTCCGACGTAATTATTTCATATGTATACTTCTCTTTTCTTTAATATTAATATCATAAAGAAATAATAATCTTATCATATATGTGAAACAGTATGTGAATAATTTCAACAACTCTTAGTGAATTTAAACAAATTAGAATATTATCGAAATGTTTAATATGTCGTAGGAGAAGATGATGTTATCGACTAAAACTGTCTACTGAATTTATTTACTACAAATAGAATTCTTCATTTCTCATGCAATATATTTATTGTATGGATTTATTAAATAGAAATTTCAGCTATGAACTTACCACTATCCGTGCAATAGATGTTGATAGCGTAAAAAAAGTGTTTAGTGTTTTCTGTCAACAATAAGGCATTTAGAAAATGAAATCTATATGATGAATTCGTTAGGTATTCTAATGGAAAGGTTATTTTTGTGTTTTTTTTTTAATTCGAAAGAATGAACAGAACTAGAAGATCATCAGTTTAGATGAATATTTAAATGCAGATAACGTATCCGTATTACTTATTATGGAGATGGCTTATTAACTAAACTATCATGATATTGTGTTAATCTGAATTCTAATCAATATGAATATTTCTAGTTCACTATTTTGTTACATGAACATATAGTTATTTTGCGAATCACTAATATGAACTTTGTTAGATTTTCGCGTGTCATTTGTATTCAAATTCAGTTTTTTGTTTGTATTATTCTCTGCTCATTAGAATACTGTGTTTAAAAAATAAAAACTTTCCAATAAGTTTACTAAGAGATTTTTATACTGGAAGTTCAGAATAGGAAGATAAGGTGAAAATACAATTTTTGCCTGCATATCTTTTATGGAAAACCTCTAAAATATTTTTCATCATCTGAAACAACATCACAAAAGCAAGCAATCGTTTCGGATAACTTTTCATAGTTCCTTTTGGCTCTTTTTACTTGAGTTTTACGATCCATGTTTGAAGCGGTGTTAGCTTTCGTATTTACAAGTTGTTTTAATCTTTCGATAAAAACTTTCACCGAACAATCATTCCTTGGAAATAAAAAACCTTGTTTATTTATATGGCAAAATGTTATTCAACATCTGATATCTGTGCCATTACTTTAGCATCACACGTTATTATAACAAACAAATATGTTGTCTGTATAGAATATACTGTAATTGTTGAATAATCAGAAGAAATTCTTTTAGTTTCATTCCAAGAGTATTTTAAAAAACATAAATGAATGCTGAATAGAGATGTGGGTATAGAGGCTTTTAGTTGTGGTTTCGGCTTGTAGAAAACTATTTCAGGATTTATTCACATAAAATTTAAGATAACTAACGTTCTGATTACTTATGTGAATAAACTCACTCAAAAATTGAGATTTTCCGGTGACATGTTAGGGCGATTAATCGCAAGACTATATAGTGATTTTCCATGCGACATTTACGATGATTGGACCTACATACGATGCTCGTCTCAAGAAAGACAATTGTGTATAGTGCTTTACAATCATCTTTCATTATCGTACTGATAAAGGTTTTTGTTGAATGAAGAAAGAGATGATTTTCTTATCCAACATTTCCCATGAAAAATCAAAAACAATAGTTTTGTTTTTATATGATAATAGTCTCTATTTATTCTGGTGTAGAGATCGATTTGAATAAATATTTGTTGTTCAATCTAATATCGACATTGATTTAGCTAAAAGAAAAAATAATATAATTTCTATAAATAAATACTTTCCGTTGAATTTTATTGCAATATGGCCGATTTATCATAAAAACTGAGCCGATTTTCATGATACGGGTAATTCAATCGATAAATATCCCTTTTTTTCCACCATCTCTATTGAATTTCATTTTGATTCGGGCGAATTTCAAATTGAAATCTAACCATTATACATGTTTAATCAATATTTTGTTTATATTCTAAAAACTCAGTAAAACAGTTATGATTTTCGATAGAAGATCAAAGCTTTCTTGACTTTTCTAAGTTTTACTATTCGGATCTAGGTATATTTATGGGTAAATAAATATTAGTTCGACATCCTTCTCTCGTATGACTGATATTTCAATATGATTGATTCTAAATATCAAACATCAACAATCTAATCGATGACTATTCCTATATCTAATCATAATCTATAATTTGACAAACAAATACCACTCTTTCCATTATTACATATGCTTATTTCTATACTTAGTTTCTAATAAAGAAAATATAAGTTAATCACAATGATTTTAATATATCATTTAATTGAATAAGACGAGACAAAAATTGAAAATTAGAAAAATCGTTGAAGAACATACAACGCATGATGCGTTCTCTTGTGTATTTGTTTCTTGTATAGATGTTGTTGCCATTGGCATAAAAAACGTAGTGTTACCATCCTTTCGATCTGAACACAATGGCATATTTTGATAATCTAAATTACAAGCTTGAAGATAAAATACATGTTTTCGTCCATAAACGTAATCTTCTGTCATAGTATAAGAGAATTGCCTGTTGGATATATTATATGTAAGCACTTGTTGATCCATAGCTAATTTATAATTATGAATTGGTCCAGCTGGTTTTAAAGGAGATGACCAAAATAATGTTAGACGTTTAGAATTTAGTTTAACAGTAATATTTTGTGGTGCTGATGGGCGTCCATTTGTTGATCGAATGTCACGTGTGATTGTCTCATTAGTTCCAACACAAGTTAAAGTAAATGAATATAATGTATTTGGTTGAAGATCATTAAATGAAGCATAGCCTGAACCTGAGGCTTCTTCTAAAAATTTCACAGACCGAACATCATTATTATCATCATCAGTGGCATTACTTCTTACTTCACATTTACAAGATGGCAATGGGCAATCGGTTACTTCAAGCATTAATCTTTAAATAATCAGTAGATACAATATAATAAAACAAAAGAATTCACTCACTGAATTCTAACAGAGTTCACAAAATTGAGAACCGGCGAACCATTAAAAAAAAATTCAGTACCGAAATAGTTGATTTGTGTTGCGTAAGTAACTGTAACTAATAAAATTAAAATAATCAATTTTCGTTGTTGCATCTTTCTTTTCTCTGTTAGCAAAACAGTAGTACAAAAAATCTTCTATTAGTAAATTTTTTTTATGAGCACACTTCGAATGATAATGAGAGAGAAAATATTTTTCTATTGACATAAAACACCATGAATCATTGGAGAAACTAGAAACAACAAGAGATAGGTAAATTGATATTAAAATAAAAGGAAATACATGTTTGAAATCAGCTATTTTCAGTTTTTTTTTACTAAATAATATGAATAAATAAAGCAGATGTTTAATTCAGGGTGATATACTCAATGACCGAATAACTCGATGACAATTTATCTGAAAATAGATTTTATATATTCTATGAAGTAAAAACTCTCTAACCGAGTCTGATACAGTGTTCTACTAAATTTCTAATCATGCTTCTTCTAGTAAGCGCATCAGAAAATAGAGGAAAAAAGAAAAAGAATGAATGTATAGAGAAGAAGAACGTGAAAAAAAATATCGTTGAATATGAATGAATTTTACTGTAAAGGAAGCAGCAGTCACCATTACTTAAGAGATCATGCATCTTTTTATGTTTAGTGATGAACGAACAAGTCAAACCATTATGAACTTTATCTTTCCCTGGCATAACAAGTCGAATAAAATGAGGATATATACGTATTGTATGTTTCAAAAGTTCGAATGACAGAACAGTGCTGAATAAACCTTCAGCAATTCAACAGATAAAAATATTTTTCTTTACAGTTTGATCATATATTTATTAAAGTTTTTAGATAAAATATCTGTGTGTAGAAGTTAAAATTAGAATAGTTTTACTGGTGGCAAAAATATCAGTTAGTTACTATTGTAAAACGAAAGCTACAAATCGATTTTGGCAAAAGCATACCAACTGTTGTCTGTATAAGAAGCATATTTGAGTAATTTTGTGAAATTGGTACCGTCAAAAAGTCGATCACGTGTTGGAAGACCGTAGAGCAACAAGTGAATGAGACGAAGAACGTTTGCGAAAACAAGCGTGGATTAAGTAGCCGATAAATTATACAAATTTACTCACCGCCACAAATTACATATTGGATTATGATGAAAACTCTCTTTTGAAAGTCATAAAAGGTACAATTTGTTCAACAGTTTCTATAAAGTAGAGTTATATGCACAGAACATATGACCGTGGCTCATTGTTACAAGTATCATTAACTTTAGTAGCTCTGTACTCAATGATTAGTTTACCGTCATCGATTTTTGACTGTAGTGTTTTCACGAAATCGCTGAAATGTATTGATAATGCAATGTTTAGTTAGTTGTTTGTTTATTAAATTTAATTTCTACATAGTTAGCGTCTTAAAATGCTGGCTTATTCGAAGTTGAGCATGAGTAAAATTATTTTAATTTTGACTTCGTTAGATGTAGATATTTTATCTGAAATATATTAAATAAAAATGTAATGTATGTCTGATCTACATATAAAAATAAACAATATTTAAATCTTTTGGATTAGTGAGAAGCTAGTCATGCTTTTGTTTTCGCTCGCACTTTTAGAACACACATCATATATGTGAACGTTCAAAGTGAGGTTACATATACTCTCGAATCCACCTAAGTAAATCTCGAAGACTACATCGCACATCAGATTGAGCAAGAAGCTGATGTTTAAAGTCGAACTAGTCTATAGTTCAGTGCTGTATTTAGATGCTTATTTATAAATTAGAGAAATAAGTGGTAGTTTGATCAATAAAATCATCAATGAAGAAATTAAGTTTTCAGTCATTGAAGTTATGGACAGTTTTATTCGTAAGAATTGCTTCATTAGAAAACTGTTCATAAACGTTCGAATCTTTACATAATTTATCTATTCATTGTTGTTTTAAATGAAATGTCATTGCTACCTATCAGGTCATAGGTAAACATCCGAATGCAGCATCGATCCACAGACTAGATCAAGTTTTAACATCGATTTCCTCTTGAACGTGATATTGAACCCGTGTAATATCGGATACGAGTTTTGCCTGTGTCGATCAGAGATTGGATGTAATCTTACTTTGAATACTAGCATATAAGCTTTATTAAAATATTCATGTATAGCGTCATCACAATCTTTCGACTGACGCCATCATAGATTTTCTTATCACTATCTTATAAAGTATAAAAATGTTATCTGTCAGATAACTATTGAACCATGGAGTATAAGGAATGTAAGAAACACAGGTTCCAGTGTAGATTGATTAGTTCTTATTAATTTTAATTTTTCGTATTTTTTTCTTAATGAGTATGTATATAGCTGTAGATAGGATTTATTAATTGAGACATTTTCAAGAATTGCAATCATGTGTCTGTTTGAAATAGTTAAAGATTTTAAGCTAGAATCGATGAGGATCTCAGCAAGGAATTTTATCTTTCATTTTAAGGAAATGATACTTGAAGAAAAAGATAACTGGAAACGAAAAAGTCGAAGTAATAGCAAAAGCATGGAAATGATTTTTCTTATATCAATAAAAAACGTTTTTTTTTAAAATATTTTTGTCGATACTTATTGTAGTTTATTCATTCCTAAGGAATAAAGAGACTTCTGAAATAGATATGATTTTCCTTGTTTATAAGGTATCTAATTTTGTTTCTGGGCCATACTGAAAAACTTCCTAAATCTAAAAAAATCGGTCTAATGCTATTCAGTTCTGATTGTCTCAAATCGGTAGTCATAAATCATCTAATTTCTTGTATATTTTCTAGATAGCGTTGGCTTTGATTGATGTGCGATCAAAATTGTCCAATATACTATCAAATTAGAAGGTCATTAATATGTGAAAGAAGACAAAGAACGTATCAAGGTAAATTTACGTTTATTTGTATAAGCAGTACACAAACTCTTCAATATAACTCTGGATTCCTTCTCTATCAAAACGTGTCAGTTAGTGAGTAACCTCCTCTACCCTATTCCTCCTTCTAACATGATATGTTAACAGCTGCTGTATACTTCTACATATGTGAAACATCTCCTTTCTTTGATATTAATACCAGAAAGAAGTAATTTTCTTATCTTGTATTTAGAGCAATGTATGAATCGTTTTAATAATTCTTAATGAATTTAAACAAATGAGTATTTATCGAAATGCTAAGTATGTTGCAGTAGGAGATGATGTTATAGTCTAAAACTGTCTACAGAAGCCATATATTACGAATAGAATTCTTCATTTGCATTGCAATATATTTCTTGTATGAATTTTTGTAAATAGAAGTTTCAGTTATGAGTTCATCGCGATCTGTGTGACAGATGCTAATAGTGTCGAGAAAATTTTTTGTAGTTTCTATCAGCAATAAGGCGTTTTGAAAATGAAATCGTTATGACTGATTCGTCATACATTGTAGTGGAAAGGTTATTTTTTTGTTTTTTTAATTCGAAAGAATGAACAGAAAGAAAAGAAAATCAATTTCGATGAAAATTTAAACGCAGATAACATCTGTATTTGTTATTAGGGAAATGATTTAGTCACTAAACGACATTCTTTTGTTTATGAACGTGTGACAAGAAGCAAGTTATAAATAATCTGAAGAGAAAGAAATTCTTTATCTTTTAGTAATAAAATTTTCTTTCAATATTTGTCTATGGAGGTGCAAAATATAGGCCGATGTTTGTAGCATTACTTTTGCATCACACGTTCTTACAACAATTATGGATCGTACATAGAAAAAAGAAACTACTTCAGAGATTTTTCACAGTAAAAATAAAAGAAACTCTTAAATAATTATGTTATGATAACTTCAGCTGACGAATATCAGTCTTTTTTTTTTCGTCATCTTTCTTAACTTTTGCTTTGATTGGTGTGATTTATAACGTAGTTCGCTAAAAATCATAGAAAATTTAACTAAACTTTTTATTTTTGGTTCGAACATTTTTTTTCTCATACTTTCGCTTACTAAAACCAAGAGTCAAAATATCTTCACTTGTTTCTAGTGCTGAATTTTGCATTAATTAACTTGTTTTCTGTCTTATGCATCATTGAACATTACAATATCAGTTTTTCTTCTTGAAAAACAATATAACACCAAGAATATATGACTTAACTCCGATTTTTCATTATTTATCATTGTTAATTATAATTATGTTTTCATTAGCACTAGTTCAAATTGAGATGAAGTATGATATATCAAATGTTTCTACATGTATAACAACAAAGTTTATTTTGCATAGATTTCTGCATAGAAAAAGTCATAAAAAATTTGAAGTTGCTACAAAGCATGTGTCATTTAATTTTCTACAATAATCAGAGTAAAAAATTCTTATTGACTTATTCTAATCGATTTCAACATGATTAAACAGAACGATGTATGATATGCTAAACTTTGTTATTATAGAAATGAAATGAACATTATCGAAATGATAAATTTATCATTGATATCATACTTATTGTGAAAAAATTCGTTTTTGAATAAAATAAAACTACCAAAATAATTCTCTTGATATTGGAAAACTATTGGCAAGAATTTGAAATAGATAAAAGACAATTGCTTATTCTAATAGAAAAGTGAATCTAATGAAGAAGATCGAAAATCTACAATGTTTCGTACATCATTTCATTTATGACCTGTTTAACTAAAATGGATCAATATTTTACCAAAGTTGAGCAAAACATTTCTCAAATACAAAATATATCGAAATTATTTATTCGAATTTTTTTTTCTACGTTCTCATATGTTCTGCGTTGATGGACGTCATTTGTTTTGAATAATGGCAATATCACATTTCAAACACTACTATATCATGGTAAAAAAATGCAAATAATAATGGTATTATTGAAGTTGGAGTTACAGTTTATCGTTAGTGTGTTAGGTTCTTTTGTTGTTACATTTGTAAAAACTATGTGGTTTTTAGTGAATCGAAAAACAAACATGCTACTGAGTGCATCACTGTAATGTTTTAGTAATAACATTTTTCATGAACAAAATAATTTTCACCATCGTAAGATGTATTGTTCTAGTTGTAAACAAAAAATGAAGGTTTTTTCTTCGGAGCGAGGAAATTTCCAGAAATATGAGCTTTTTTCGAGTGGATCTAATAAAAAGGATCCTTTTAGTTGAATGCGTTACTATCAGTTTTGCATTCTTATAAAGTCGCCACAATACAACCAAACGAAATGAAAACTTTACTTAAACTAGAACTTTTATAATGTAAGTTTCAGCTCTTTATCTCATTAAGTTCGTAAGTTAGGATTAGTTCAAAGAGATATTTTAATTTGTTTATTGCAGAAATAATTGCAAAATAAACAACAATGTAAACGTGTTACGAAAATTCATATGTTCAATAGTTTACAATCTGTGTATCTGAAAAAAAAAAGCCAAGCAAATTAAGGCATTTAGTTTTAACATATTCATAGATATAATAGCATTTCTAAAACTTACAATTATTAGTAATTATAACACAAGATACCTAAGCACTATGGTTTTCTTTTCAAGCATTGAATTTATAACTAATCACTCTACTGATTCCCATAAAAGCGAATACTTGGAGAACAAATGAATCAACATTATCACATTTGTTAAACAAAGCTTCGAATATTTAATAACGAGGAAATGTCTTGAAATGAACACTGTCGATTGAGTTAAATCATTATCTATCAAAAGGCTTCAGTGATACTCATAAAAACCTAAAAGAAAAATGTTCATTTCACTTCTATTCCAAAGTTTTGGTTATTTTGTTGAGTTTTCATCATTCGAGTAAGATATTAAAATACAGATACCTAAGAATCGAATTTCAAACTAAAATGTTTTGCCAAACGTTTATCTAATGATGCATAAGAAAACCTGAAAGTTTCGGTCTTCTAGATATGGAATTTGCAAGTACGACTCATAGTTCATACGCACTTCAACAAAATCAACTTCTTCGATAAGTTTGATATCTACAGAAGAAAAAATCAAATTTCGCCAAAATTTTCAGAATATTCTTAGGATCATCAGATATAGCCCTCCTATATCTTGTTCAAAGAAATATCAGTTCGAAACTTTCTTACATAAGTACTTAATTGATGACAAGTTTTTTGTAATCACATCTATCAATCAGCAAGCAATGCCACGTCTTGCATCATTTTGTATATATATATACATTCATTTATTTACTTTATAATTAAGAAAATAAAAGTTAATCTAAATCATTTTAATATGTCATTGAATTAAATAGAAGGAAACAAAAAAATGAAAATTAGAAAAAGTTTTGAATAAGATAGAATGCATGATGTACTCTTTTGTGTATTTGTTTCTTGTGCTAATGTTGTTGTCATTGGCATATAAAAGGTAGCTATACCATCATTTGGATCTGAACATTTTCTTATATTTTGACGATTTATACTACAAGTTTGAAGAAAAAATACATGTTTATGTCCATAAATATAATCTTCTATCATAGTATAAGAGAATTGACTGTTGGATATATTATCTATAATTGGTTGTTGATCAATAGTTAATTTATAATTAGTAATTGGTCCAATTATTATTAATGGTGGTGACCAAAATAATGTTAGATGTTTAGAATTCAGCTTAACTGTGATATTTTGTGGTACTGATGGGAAACCATAATCCGTTCGAATGTGACGTGTGATGGTCTCATTAATTCCAACACAACTTAGAGTAAATGAATATAATGTATTTTGTTGAAGATTCCTAATTTCAATCTTCCCTGAACTTGGTACTGCATTGGAAAATATCACACGGTACACATTATTACTGGTAACATTCGTTTTTACTTCACATTTACACGATGATGGTGGACAATCTTTTGTTTCGACCCATAAGCTTTAAACATTTAGTAGATAAAATATAAAAATAACAAATATTGACTCACTAAACCTGATCAGCAAAAACACTGAGCGGACCAAGAAAAGATGGTGTATACATTTTAGCATCAAAATGAATGATTTGTGCTGCATAAGTAATTGTAACGATTACAACAAAAATAGTCAATGGTCGTTGTTGCATGTTGCTCTTGTCTGCTGAAAAGAAAAGTGAAAGAATCTTCAATTAATAAGTTTCTTTTATGAGCACACTTCTAATGTTAACGAAAAAGAGGAAAGGTTTTCTATTGGCATAAAGAACAATGAATTATTGAAAAAAGTAAAAAAAAAAAAAAAACAAGAAGAAATACATAAATTGACATTCGCGGAAAAGCAAATGCATGTCTGAAACCAGTCATTATCAGATAATGTGTTAAATAAGCTGAAAATTTTAGGCCAGATGTTTAGTTCAATGTGACGCACTCAATGACAAAAATAACTCGATGAAATTAACGTGAAAGTCGATTTTATATAATTCTATGAAGTAATAACTCTTTAATTAATTCTGATATACCAATTGTACTTAAGTTGCATTTTTTTTCTTCTAGTAGGAACATTCCGAGATGGGAGAAAAAGAAAGGGGATAAATCTCTATAGAAGAACAACAGAAAAAATATGTTGGTTCTCTAAAAATGAGTGTCTATTTCTATAAGTGCTTGTATATATAATAAAAACAACGTTGAATTTAACAAAAATGGACTCTGTACTCCGTTTCAACCTGACATATTACTTCAGACGAAAAAAAAATTGAATCTATAGAATGAGGATCCACAGAGAATTCTGTGTTGTGCGATCAAAAAAAAATGTAAACAGATATCGAGATAAACTATGATATATCGAATGTTTCTATATGTTTACAACATAGTTTATTTTGCATATATTTCTGCAGAGAAAAATTATAAAACTTAAAGTTATTATTAAAAGATGTGTCATTCAATTTTCTATAATAATTAAATTAAAAATTCCTCATTGACTTACTTTAATCGATTTCAAAATGTTTAAACGGAAAAACATATTATATACTCTACTCTGTCACTGTAAAAGTGAAACAAATACTTTAAGAATGACAAGTTTATTATCCGGAACAAGTTTATTGTAGAAAAAAACTCATTGCTGAAAAAAAATAATACTGCCCAAAATGATTCCCTTGATATTGGAAAAAAGTCGAAATATCCAACAGATGATGCTTGATCATTTTGATAAAGACGTAGATTATATTGAAAAGATTGACAATCTACAATGTCTCATATATCTTGTTGTTCAATCTTCGTCAAAATTAATTAAAGTTAATCAAACAGGAATTTGTTACTTTATTTATTGTAGAGAGTTTAACGTCAAATTTTCATGACTTATCTCTACAGGCACAAAAGCCTAGTAAACTAGAGTGTAAACATGTTGAGACAATGTACATGTTCAATAATTTACAGTTTGTATATTCGAACAAAAAAATCGACTAAATTAAGTAACTTAGCTTCAATGTATTTATAAACTTGATAGAATTTCTGAAACTTATAATTATTAATAATTATAACAAAAGATTCTATCCATTATGATTTTTTTTTATTATGGCGAATACTTGAGAATAAATGCATTACCTTTGTCACACTTATTAAACGGAGTATCGAATATTTAATAACGAGGATAGGTTCCATATGAGCAGCATCAATCTAATTAAATCATCGCCTATAAGAACAAAAATCTTTTACATACTTGAAACTGGTCAGATTTTTTTGACCGAACCATAGCGACCACTTGAAATTCTTGACTAACCGGTGCATTTAATATATTAATGAACCAATCAGTACTTTCGAAAAACAGTCTGGTACTTCAGTTCTACAAAGATATGCAATGTAAAACTCATATATCTCTTGGAATTTCTAATTGTAACAACTGGTATTTTAGTCTTTCACTTTCATTTATGTTAAGATAAAAAAAAGAACGAAGATGTCTTTCAAAACGTTTCATTTAGTAACTCATACCTATACTATGAATTGGATGACTTTTTTCAATAATGATATGATTTTGTTGACAATTGATAAGTTTGACCTATTCTTATTTAACACAGCTGAAAGTCATCGAAATTCATAAAAAAATAATTTTGTCGACAGAAAGATACGATGAACTAAAACGTATAGTATTAATATTAGACGTCCTATTTTAAGTTTTCTTAATATCTAAATATTTTCATAGTTGTATGATGCTAGCAGTTGGCAAAATCTTGACAATAGAATGGTATATTTTCTGATATTTTTTAATGAAAATATGAACTGCAAATAACTAGCTATTGAAATTTTATGAGAATTGAGTAAAAGTAGTTCAGTAAAGTAAACTTGAAATTTTGAGGTGAAAAATCTTTTGTTTAGATGAATATTGATTTCTAATACATAGCTAATCTCTCGTGAGCATAATAATATATGGCAAAAAAAGTTCGCGTCATTTTTCCTATCAATGTATTTTTGCAACTGTTTGAGCGAATTCAATCAATAAAAAGTCATATTAAAGAGCACTTAAAAGTACACTTATGGTGTAAAAATAACGGTTCTAACTTAAGAAGTAAGTGAGTAACGATAAAAAATGTTTGTTATGTGTTTTTGGATCTCAGAAAACAATTCCATAATGTAAATAATCAGAATATAAAGTAAATTATTTTCTTCTTATATATATAAGTATAAAGCGAACGTTACTCTCATTGTCGCACGGATATTTTTCTCGTCGGCTTCGTCACAAAAGAAAAAAATTTGTAGTTCTGTAATTTTAAATATATAAAAAAATCACCTCTAAAATTCGCCAATGATATTCTCGCATCTATATCCATCTTATCACTTGAGTTAGAACCGTTATTTTTACACCATAAATGCACTTTTAAGTGTTCTTTAATATGACAATTTATTGATTGAATTCGCTCAAACAGTTGCAAAAATACATCGATAGGAAAAATGACGCGAACTTTTTTGCCATGCCTTAAATTCGTTCAGAACAAGATGAGATTCTCATAGTACGATGAGAAAGTGTTAGCTTAATATTGACAGCTCGTTGGAAACATCAGGGCTCATACCTCTGTGTCATGAAGACCATGGAAATTGTTAAAAGCCAGCAAATCAGACCAGCTTTAGTGTTCTAAAAATGAAAAAGAAACATGGAAATCAACTGATTCAATTTCAAATGTGGTCTTTTAAATGCCTTTCCAAAGTTATCGCTATTTTGATGAGTTTTCAGCATTGGAGTAAGTTATTGAGAGACATCTAAGAATGGAATTTCAAAACAAAATGTTGTTCAAAAGTATTTCAAATGACCCATAGAAAATCTTGAAAGTTTCGATCAAATAAAATATTTTATTCTAGACGTTAAACTTTCATGTACATTTGATACTTCGTAAAAAGCTCAGGTTAATCAAACTTTTCTCCGAACTCAAAATCTCTAGAAGATACCATTAAATTTGGCCGAAACTTTGCGACTCTTCTTAGAGTCATTAGAAGTATATGTTTGCACTAAATTTCAAATTCAAATATGATTATTTAATGTCTCGTATCAATATCCTGAAAAATCATTAAAACATCTGTAACTTCGGAGAGAAGATCAAAGGGCTCTTCATCACATTCATAGATCAACAGATAATACCAATTTTCGTATCATTCTGTGTATATATTTATTTATTTATCTTATAATAAAAAAAAATATAGTTTAATCTGAATTACTTTAATGTGTTATTTAATTGAATAAAAGAAAACAAAAAATGAAAATTAGAAAAAACTTTGAAGAACATAGAATGCATGATGCGTTCTCCTGCGTAGATGTTGTTGTCATTGGCATAAAAAAACTATTTTCACCATCGTTTGCAATCGAACATACTGAATGTTTTTGACGATCTATATTACAAGCTTGAAGAAAAAATACATGTTTTTGTCCATAAATATAATCTTCTATCATAGTATAAGAGAATTGATTGTTGGGTATATTATCTATAATCAATTGTAAATCAATATTTAATTTATAATTATGAATTGGTCCAGCTGGTTTTAAAGGAGGTAACCAGAATAATGTTAAACGTTTAGAATCTAGTTTAACTGTAATATTTTGTGGTGCGGATGGACGACCATAATCTGTTCGAAAGTTACGTGTCATTGTTTGATCAGTTCCAACACAACTTAAAGTGTATGAATATAATGTATTTGATTGAAGATCACTAATGTTAGCAAAACCTATATTTGGTTTTGTAGGCAAAAATTCTACAGTATAAATATCATTATCACTGGTGACATTAGCTTTTACTTTACATTCACAAGATGGTGGTGGACAATCTGTTACATTGATCCATAATCTAGAAATATTTAGTAGATAAAAATATAATAATAACAAGAATTTACTTACTGAATAGAATTAGCAAAAATAGTGATTGGATCTGGAATAAATTGTGCATATGCTTGAGCATCAAAATAGTTGATCTCTGTTGCATAAGTAACTGTAATGAATAATACAAAAATAATCAACTGTCGTTGTTGCATGTTTTTCGTATCTGTTAAGAAAAAAAAATGAGAGACTCTTTAATGAGTAAGCTCCTTTTATCAGCACATTTCTAATGATAAAGAGCGAGAGAGAGAGAGAGAGAGAAATTTTTCTATTGACATAAAGCACGATGAATCATTGAAAGAACAAAAAATGATAAGAAATCAATTGACACTGGAGGAAAACGATATGCATATTTTAAATCAGTTATTATCAACTTTTATATTGAATCAGCGGAAAAAATACAGATGATGTTTGGTTCTGTATTACGCATTCAATGATAAAAAGAAATAAATGGATAAAATTCAGTTGAAAATAGATTTTATATATTCTATGAAGTAACAACTCTCCCATCTACCTTAATAAATCTTTGTGCATAATTTGTATTCATTTTTCTTCTAGTAGGCGCATCACAGAATGAGAAAAAAAGAACAAATTGATATAGAAGAATGGTGAAAAAAAAAAGACTGTCGTTCAATATGAATGAATCTTACTGTAAAGAAAGC